AGTTTTATATCGCACCTTCGGAAAGGAAAATCTAGACAGAACGCTGAGCTTGTACTGTGAATACCAAACAATAAATCTTACAATTTAAAAAACCTTTTATGTTAAACCTGATTTATTAATGAGACATTTAGTTGACTCTGATGCAGGTCTCTACCCTCCCTCCCCCCCAAATCGACATTGATATACGATCAAAGACTGTATATCAATAATGTCTTGTAGTAATATATGAACTACTTTCTTATTGCATTTCTAAAGGATTAAGTAAAAGGATAGTGAAGAAATATATTCCGAAATCAATAGAATAAAATAATGTCTCAGTGATTAGCAATAGCAGCTGCATTGTGTTTCATATTTTAATCCTCCAAGGATTGCACTAACAGGTTTTTTTTTCTTATCTTTTTTTAGTTCTATTGGTTCATTTTTATTACCCTATATAATTCTTCATTTAATTGGTGAAAATCTTGGTCAAGATGTATTAGATAAAGAAATTAAAGCATTCATTTCTTATACAAATCAATATGATGCAAACGAAATAAATCCATCTTCTGATGTTCTTCATCAAATTGGTCAAATCATATTTACTTTAATCGATTTTCTTCTTTTATTTTCCTCTTTAAATACCATCGATCCAAATGAACAAGCTAAAGAATTAAATCAACGTAAACGTCAACCACCACCACCACCACCGCAACAACAACAAAAACAATCAAATCAAGATCCATTAAATATTCAAGATGGTACATGGAATAATTTAGGTATAATAAGAATACGTGATTATATACGTTTATTACATACTGATCTTTCTCTTGCTCGTATTGCATTTAAATATGATCATTATACACGTGCATATCGTCATTTTGAAATGTATTCATCAACTGAACAACAACAAATAAATATTTCTCATAATAGTGAATTTCTTTTAAAATTATTTCATCGTTTAAATGATCAAGATTCAGCTTATGGTATTATTGGTATACGTAATATGATACCAAAACAATTAGATAATCCTCGAACAGATATTTATGAAGAAATTTTATCATATGAATTAACTGGACAAATTGATGAAGCTATTGTTGCATATGAAAATGTTTTAGAAATGAATGAATTAAATCAAACAAATATACATTTATATTTAGGTTATTTAAATAATTTATTAACTCAACAACAATTTCAACATACAATTGATCAATCAACTGGTATTATTGTTCAATATCCAACATGGATTAATATGTTAAATCCATTACGTATTGAAGCTGCATGGAAATTATCAAAATGGAATTTATTAGAAAAATTTTGTTCATATCAAAATGATAATTTATATTTAAATCATAATGAACAAATAAATGAAAATTCAAAAATGAATATTTTACATGATTTACATGTTTCAAAACAATTTGAAGAATATGTTGGAAAAATTTTATGTCAAGCTAAAAAACAAAATCGTGATGAATTTTATTCAGAATTACGTTTAGCATTAAATTCATTAATGGGACCTATATCAGCAGCTAGTATGGAAGTTGGATCATATCAACGTGGATATGATTATTTAGCTAAATTACATTTACTTAAAGATCTTGAATATTATGTTTTAAAAAATATTTTTCATGATGAAAATTCTATTATGATTATTGATAATGATGATAATATTGATGATATATGGTCACAAAGACATGCATTATTACCACCCAATAGTAAATATATTGAACCATCATTAGCATTAAGACGAACACTTTTATTATTAGATGATATTAATCATACTAAACAACATGCTGTATTAGAAATTGGTGAATGTTGGTTACATAGTGCACGTATAGCACGTGCACAAAATAATTCATTAGCAGCTATTGGATCATTAATGAAAGCTAATCAATCACATCCAATTGAAGTAGCTATTGAACGTGCACAATGGATGTGGGATAAAGGAGAAAAAGATCGAGCTATAATGAGTTTAAAACAAAAGAAAATTGAATTATTAGATTCAAGAACAAATAATGATGGAAATCATAATGAAAATAGATTACAAGGTTTGATTTTAATATTCAATTATTAACAAGATTAATGATTAGAAAGAAGTTGGCGTACAGTTTTCCTTCTCAAAAATTTCAAACTTTCTTAAAAAAGTTTTTATAGTACCGTGAGGATCGTAACAGAAAATGGATACACAGCAATTTCATCTCAATTTCTGACTACAAATGTACAGGGTTAGATTTTTCCTATCCTGGATAGAGTTTGGCAGTTCCAAAAAAAACCTGGAACCATGGTTTCGGGTGCTTTTTGAAGTTGTCGAACTCTAATCCTGTACCCCGATTATCTTCTGTTCGATTTCTGCTAGTAAGACAAACGAGGATACTTTTTGCCCGTGCCACTCTCAAAACTAATTCGAAGTTCTAATTGCTAAATGTAATTTTTCTATTATTTTTTTTTTCAGTTTCAACTGATTTGAAAGCACAAGTATGGTTATTATTAGCTCGTTATAGTGAACAAAATTCTCCTCATGAAGCCGTTTTTGAAATGTATAAACAAGCTCAAGAAGCAGCTCCACATTGGGAAGAAACACATTTTTATTTAGCACAATTTTATGATACATTACTTTCATCATGTATTGAATCCGATCCAACATCATCAAATTCTACTTCAACAACAACAACAAATAATTTTCTATCATCAAATGGACTTTCATTAGAAAATAAATTACGTATGATGGAATATATTCGTTTAGCTGTTAATACATATTGTCGTTCATTAAAATATGGTTGTGAATTTATCTATCAATCGTTAACACGTTTATTAACAATGTGGCTTGATTTTGCATCTGATCTTGCACCATTTATTAAACCAATACCAACAACAACAACATCACGTAAACAACAATCATTAACAGTTGCAGCCATTAATTTACCTGATGCAGCACAAATTAAACAATATGGACAAGCAAAATTAACTGAAATAACACGAGAAGTATCATCATGGACAACACGTATACCACCTTATTTATTTCTTGCTGCTTTTCCTTATATGGTTTCACGTATATGTCATAGTGAAGATATGACATCAAAAGCTTTAAATTCAATAATAACACAAGTATTTGCTGCTTTTCCTCAACAAACATTATGGATGATGATTAATTTATATGGTTCATCAAATAGTATGCGACGTGATCGTTGTATTGCTATTTGGAATGAAGCTTCAAATATTGAACCTGGTTTACATAATTTTGTTGTCGAAGCAACAATACTTATTAAACAACTTGATACATTATGTATGCATACTGGTACATATGGACAAAATAAAATAAGTTTATCAGCACAATTTAAATCATTTAAACGTTCATATACAACATGTCCAATTCTTATACCAATTCAATCACAAATGCAAGTTTGTTTACCACCACCGCCAGTAAGATTTTCTCTATCGACAACATCAGCACATGTTCAACAACAACACCAACAAATAATGAATGGTGATCTTCCATCAGAAACATCAGTCAAGTTAACAGCTATGGCAAATAAACAAGGTCCATTAGGACGAACAACAGCAAAAAGAACTGCACAAGTAGGATCAACAACAACTGGAACAAATAAAATACCACAAAAAACTTATTATGATGCACGACATCAACCATTTCCTGATGCTGTTGTTACGATTCAGAGTAAGTAGATATTAAAGGTACTCTTCCCACTCTTCGGATATAAAAACTAAGATGATTTTCGAGACTTCTGTGTCTAAATAAAACTTGATCAAGATGCGCGAGATATCGCTCGATTTCAATTCGAGATATGATTGATATGACTAATTCGAAGAGGGTGCTGCATGTTTTTCATCTGTTCTTCTTCCTCTGTCCTAAATAGGAGATTAACTCCAATCGATATGCTGTTTTTCTCTGATTACAGACCTCTGATAGGTATAAATGAAGTACTCTCTGAATGTAGAAAACTATCTTATCGAAAGTGGAGTAGTCGAAAATCTATGAAAATCTTATATAGGAAGGAAAAAAAGATGAGTAATCGGAAGAAAATCGAAATTCAATTTTGTTTGCCGTTTTTTTCAGAATCAAATTTTATACTAAAAAGGTACTGTTTCATCTCCCATTGCTTCAAAAGGAATCGAGTTGAAGCTTTTTTTTCCATATATACTAGTCACTATTTGGCAGCTTTGACAAAATTTGTCCTAATAAAAAAAAGCAAGCGTTTTTTAAGGTATATTCCGTATTTTGACTTTTCTATTGAAGCCACAAACAATATAAGGTAACCAAAAAAACAATACTCGCCTCAAATAGTGTTCGATATCTTTAGACAAATATTCAACTCGTTCGAATATAGTTCTCGAAGAACTAGCACAACTTTTGATCCACTCTTCACCATCTATCTGCCCTGAAAATTTCAAATTTTTCTGAAGAATCATTCTCCAGAAACCAAGGAAAGGAAGAGGACGATCCACTTAATTAAATACAATAATTCTTATTCTGGCCCGTTCTATTTTTAATCTAAATAGTGTCTTGAAACCGAATTTGGTATTTGGCACTCGACTCTATCCGATAACTAATGAGATCTTGACGTTTCAAAATATTTTTGCTTTTTTTAAACTGTTAATTTATGTAAAATCACAGGAGTGAAAATTTGAACAATTTCTTGTACCCGAGAACAGGTCACAGAAGTGGAAAAATCATTGATGTATTTATTCACAATAATGACATTTGACACCAACACTACATTTTAAAAGCAGAAAGATACCAAGTGAATTCTAAATCACTTGCTTTTTTTTGCCTTAACTAAATAATATACTTTTTCATATGAAATAAAAATTTGAAAACCATACTATAAATGTGAAAGTATCTGTTGGATGTCGATTAGCTCCGATCCGAGTTCAGTTGCGAAAAGTCATACCTGCGCAGGACACTAGTTCTAAGATATTTAAAAAAAAACAGCTTTTCTTTATTTAAGGTTTCCAAGATACCATTGAAGTATTATCATCATTACAACGACCAAAAAAAATTGTTATAATTGGTAGTGATGGACAATCATATCCATTTTTATGTAAATCTCAAGATGATCTTCGTGTTGATTCACGTTGTTTAGATTTTTGTCATTTATTTAATAAATGTTTAAAAAAAAATAGTGAAACACGTCGTCGTCAATTAAATATTCGTACATATGCTGTTTATCCAATAAATGAACGTTGTGGATTAATTGAATGGTTACCTAATTTATGTACATTTCGTTCATTAGTAACAAAATTTTATCGACAACGTAGTTCAAATTTTTCTGAAGTATCCAATCGAGAAATAAAAGTTTATGGAAATAGTAAAGATAAAACAAAAGAAACTCGTTATAATGTAAGTCATATATAAAAGAATAATTTATTATTATTATTTTTTTTTGTTTAATTTCTTTATTTAAAACAAACAAAACAAAAAATAGGATTTCCTTAAATTATTGGCTTTTCATCAACCAGCTGTATTTCATCAATATTTTTTTGCTGCTTATCCTGATCCAAATCGTTGGTATATAAGTCGAATGAATTTTGTTCGTTCAACAGCTGTTATGTCAATGATTGGTTATATAATGGGTTTAGGCGATCGACATTGTGAAAATATTCTTATTGATACATGTACAGGTGAAACAGTTCATGTTGATTTTAATTGTTTATTTAATAAAGGTAAATTTTTTTTTTTTGCAAAGAAAATAATTCTTAATTTAAATCTATTTATATATTAGGATTAACATTTGAAATTCCAGAGAAAGTACCATTTCGTTTAACACATAATATTGTTGATGGTATGGGTACATTAGGTGTTGAAGGTGTATTTCGTAAAACATGTGAAATTATTTTACATTTAATACGCGATGAACGTGAATTACTTGTATCAGTTTTAAAAACATTTATTTATGATCCATTAGTGGAATGGAAATCAGCAACAAGAGAAGAAGTTGCTAATATGAAAAAACAACAAATTGAAGGTGGAGAAGTTGTTAATATGAAGGTAAACGGAAAATGAACGCTGAGTTTTTCTTTTTTGAATTTAAATAATGAGAATTTTTAATAGGCTCAAACACATGTGAGAAATATATTAGAACGTGTACGAGGTTATTGTACAGATGAATTAACAGGCAAACGTGTTGTATTACCATTATCGGTTGAAGGACAAGTTGATCATTTAATTCAAGTATGTTAAATAAATTCACACTATCATTTATTTATTTCTTATTTGATCTCGTTTTTTTTTTCTTTTAAGCAAGCAACAAGTAATGAATTATTATGTCAGATGTTCATCGGTTGGGCGGCTTATTTATAATAATAAACATTTTCCTTTATCAGTCAGATATTTCTCATATACACATATATTCTTTCTATCTCAGTATTTTTTCTTTTTTGTATTTCTTTGATAGTAACTTAGTGCAATAAAATAAAAAAAAAGAATTATACGATTTGAAATTATGAATTGAATAATTACAGAGATAATATTCCGACAGTTCTGTCGATGACTAATGGCAATATTTTAAAGTGATAACATTGGACAAAAAGTAGAATGGATGCTGATCTTCTCTTAATCTATACTGATTAGAGGTCTGCAAAAGACTCCAAACTCTGACTTCGTCAGAGTTGATATAAATTATACAAAATACCATGTCGAGTGTATAATCGTTCTTTAATTCATCAATCACTGCATGTAAGTTTGAATGCGAGGTGACAATATTTACATTAAGTCGGTGGTGTTAACCGTTCCCCTTTCCCCCATTTGGGTGTGTGTGAAAGTAGAGAAGCTCAATTGAAAGAATTTTTCTAGACTCTCTACCGACAACAACGATCATTTTAAAAACGTTGGATAGTATCATTTACTGTTTAGTTTGTTTATTTCTTTCTTTCTTTCTTTCCAAGTTCTGAAATTGTTCAGAAAAAGAAATTCGTCAATGAAACAGGAAAATACGCGTTCCGATGATAAAAATAATAGACATCAACTCATCGATATGCATTTTCACAGATACGTGAAATTAGTTTATGTCCCAAGTGGATGAACTCATATGTGAAATATGAGAACTATATATTTATAAATTGAATTTTAATTGAATGATTGATAGATGTTTTTCATCAACAGAATTTTTCATTTTTTCCATATGAATTAAATGATAACATGTACGATTCATCTTATAAAAAATTCTAATATATGAATGAATGAATACATAGAAGAAAAAAAAAGACTGATTAGTTTTTAATCTCTATGCATACATTAAGATTTGTTTATCCATTCTTTCCGTGTGCATTATTCTTTCCATATAATTTTTATTTGATAAAAGGAAGAGAAAGAGACAGAAGAAGCCTATTTTTATTATTTTATAATTTTCATAAAGTAAGTGAAACGAGCTTTGTTCTCTTAGTATATTTAGATGAAATCTCTGTTTACAATCGATGGTTGAGATTAACAATATTGAAAGTGAACTTGACTCGAATGTTCACTAGGAATATTATTCTTCTCATTGATCAATAACATGTTCCGATCATCAATTTTTATACTTGTTATTATCACTATTTTAATGGCATCATTTGTAAATGGAAAGAATACAAATAATCAAAGACTAAAATTATTATCTAGACATAAACCAATCAGTATTAAAATATGTGGTTTAGCTTTGATACGTCTACTTGATGTGGTATGCAATAGAACTAGACAATTATTAATGAGAAATGGAATATCATCTTCATCATCAACTTGGAAGCCACGATTTAATATTAAAGATAATTTATATTTAAGTACAATTTCAATTACTGATTATACACGTAAGTTCAATTGTATTTATATAACAGCATATAGATTTTTTGATCATTTTAGAATTTAATGATACATTAATTGATGATTGTTGTCTTCAAGCTTGTACACTTAAGGTATTACTAAAATATTGTTAACAATTAATAAAAGCATGATCATAATCGAACAATAGTAATCAATTGTGAATTTTTTTTTGTGTATGTAGGGTAATTTGATAAGTTTATCAATCATCTTTGTGGCTGTGTTTTTTTTTCCTTTTTTTATATCAAACTCAATAAACGATCCAACATTTGTTGTTAGTCTTTACAATAGGCCATATATAGAAAATTTATATTTTAAGAATAATGCCATCAGAAGTGACATAATTGTGAAAAACATCACACCATAATGTGGATAAGAAAAAAGACATAAAATCATACGTTTAGTACATATGATAATAACTCAAGACATTGATTGGTTAATTTCAATTATTTTCAGAAAATCATACATATTATACAAATGACTAATGACGATCTCGAAATTATCTGAGAAATGAATTTATGTTCATCGCATACAGTTAATCATAAGTAACATTTAAAGTCAGAAAATTATAGAACTTGTTTGATAATGAAATATATAAGCTGCAATTAAAATGTCAGGTCTTTAGAGAAATCAATTCTTTTCAAAAAAAGTGTGATGCAGAATTTCATCAAGATGAAGTGTTAAATTTTTATTATAACAACAGAAGTTATCAGTGTACGAAATATTTATAACGTATGCACTCAATCAAAATTGTGCATGTCAGGAAGAGCGCAATGCATAATAGGTGAAAAAGCAGTCTACTAGTACTTATTTTTTTTTCTGTTAACTAGATTGAATCATACATCAACCAACTGAAAGAGTATGTTATATGATTGACATTTAGTTTCATGAAATTTTGATCAAATTTTGAAAGCTA